GGGGGGGGGGGAGAGGTAGACCTATACGTACATTTAATTCCGTTCACCAACTCTACACTAACCATATGTTATATAACATTAAATGTACTGAAATAACGGACCGTTCATGTGATTGATGACACTGCAACCACCAAATGTGAGTTAAAACTATGGGTTTTTTTTGGCTGATATGCGTGAACAAATTGAGTTCCCAATACATTAAAAATATCATCCTAGTTTTAAAATATCATCATAATCTCAACATGCGCATTTAAGGGCTAATTTTTTTATTGAAAAATTGATAAAATTATATATATATATATATATATGAAATCCAATTAAATTGAATAGAATGACATATACTAGAATACATAATAATAAATAACAGTCTTAAACAGAATACACTTTAAAAATAAATATGCAAATTTTAATTAAATTATTTAAATATAAATAACATATCAACATGTAGTATTTTAACAGTCTAATAGAAATCGAAATATAATTTTATTTAGTCGAAATGTGTGTTTATTTATAGAATTGTATAAAAACAAACAAAATGATATAGTTATATAAAATAAAGTTTTTTTTAATCCAAACCTAATAACCTAAAGCCTAGATGAATAGCGTTCTTTATCACCATTGGACCACCGACAGGTTGATGTTATATATACATATATGTATATTTATATTGTAGTAGTGACCTATCAAAGGGATTTCTTTTTTTGTTATAGTTTTCTCACTAAAAAAAGAAAAATTTAAAAAATACCCCTCAAATTCTATCGAAGTGTACGAAAAGACCCATTTTTTCTAAATGTGCCGAAAATTCCAAATCTGATCGAGTAAATACAATTTTTTTAAAAACTTAAAAAAAATAATAATAACCAAACCTCTTTATATAAAATAAACAAATCAAAATGAAACACAGATACATATATTTACCCCTTTTATACAAAGTATTTACTAAAGTGTTTTATCAAAAAAAAAAAAGTATTTACTAAAGTGGAGAGAAAAAATGGAATAAAATGACGACATAATTGACGTCACACGGTCCATTTCTCATGCGTCATGTTGCAATAATGTAATGTTGATGGCGGCTCATCCGCACCTAAGATCTTAGATCTTTGAAGAAAAGAACCTAAGATCATGTAAAACTAAACTAGTTTATAGCCATTATTATTTTTATTTTTCAGCAAACATTTGATCGTAATAATTATATACAAGAATTTATTTTACATATATAATTAACATAACCTTATAATTATAAATTTTCTAATATTATTATTTATTATTTTATGCAAATTCTTAAATATTTCTAAATAATGATAGAATTCGAACCTCTATTTAATAACTAAAGCAAAGCAAAGCATACCATGCATATGTTATTTATTTAATTTCAAAGCATGAATAAATAATAACATTAAAAAAAAAAAGATTCCCTTTGCTTGTTTGGTGCCTATAATTATCCACATATATCCTCTCTCCAAAAAGCATCAAGAGCGACTCCATACCTCCAAAAATACCACACAAAAAAAATGAGCGATCCAAGTGGCCAAACCACCACCGGAGCCGGCGGCGGCGGAGGCAGTGGTGCCGGCGGCGGCGGAGGTTTCGCAAATCAGCCGCAGTCGCGATCGAAGACGAAGCATAAAATCTTGGCCGGAGTTTTCAGCATCTCTTCATCAACTACTGCCTCCAGCAACAACTAATTACTTATTTTATTTTCTTTCTGATTTAGTTGTTTTCTCGTATCCTTCTGTCATTTGGTTGTTTTGAAGTTCGATGCTTTAGGGCTTGATTAGAGTGGTGATTATGTGTAATTAACCAAACTGTGTTCTATTTTTCTCGTTTTGTGTTTGTAAAGTTTTTTAAATAATTAGCAAGTAAAAAATGGAGTGGATGACGCTTCGTGGCAATTTAAAGTGTGAAATTTAATAACCTATATCGCAAATATTGTGAAAAAAAAAAAGTCTCTCCGGCGGTGAATTGAATAAGAATAAAATGTATAAATTTTAAATTTTAAAAATTGAGTTTTGCATAAATTTCAAATTCCATTTCTGCATCCGTATATTTCAAATTACATTTCTAATGTATAAATCGGTGAAAGGAACAATTTCAAAATTCCAAACTATAATTAATTAGCCGGAAAAATACTTTTACGCGACTGCTAATTAATGGGTCAACAGTATTTGAGTGTGTGAGTTCTTTTAGCCCATTAAGAAAATTAGAGAAGTGGGGAACCCACTAGATTGACCGGAAGGTTTAGGAAGGTTTCAATTTTGACCCGAAAATCGAATCTTCATCCGATTCAACCCGAAAAAATGAGTCTCATCTCAGTCCTAAATATCTCGACCCGATTTTTTTTGGGTTTTCGCATCGGATTCAGATCGGGTTTCGGATCAACCCGAAAACTCGTTTTTTTTTCGAAAAAAAAAATACAAATAAATTTCAAAAAACATATTTAATGGGCTGGTCCGGACCCCGAAAATATTGGGTTGTGTCCGAGCTTGAGTCCGAAATTTTTGGTCCGAATGCGGGCTGGGAGCGGCCCAATTGACATCCCTAATCTAGACTAAACCAATGGGTTATGTTTTTTTGTACTTGTTGCTAGGTATTAAACAGTTTGTGTGATTTCGGTTTACTTAGAATTTGGTTAATACGGTTAGATTAGCGGTAATACAATTTCTGTGTTTGTCCTGTAATACATATTGATTTGAATGAATTCGATTAAGGTTTAAGTAGAAAAATATCAACCGAAAATTGAACCCAATTTGCTTATCATTAAATGTGTTTAATTATCTTTCACAATCTTTCAATTGGAATTAATTAGATTCTAAGCTAAGTTATATGATTATCCACGTGGATTTAGTTTATGGAATAATTTATTTAAAGTTCAAAACATTATCATTACTGTCTTAAACCCATGATTATATATGCAAAATAATACCTCATCCCTTAATCATTTCACCAAAAGCTTCTCTTTGTTATTCTCTCCATGTCTCTTCCTCCTCAAAATTCGCCAAAATATTTGTTTTATTCTAATTAATGGACTTTATTATAATTTGAAATAAATATCACATAATGGTCCCGAAATCTTCTCGTTGCTATATTCATAAGATCAAGCCAATTGTCCATGCAGGACCACAAACAACCTCAAACCCTAGAATTAATTGTTATGTAATTATCATTTCTCTAATTATATATGCTTTGATTGTGTATCTAATTAATTAGCTCATGATTGTTTTTCAGTTTACTCAGTTTATTATTTCGACTGAAACCCTATAATCCTCGCGACTTCTTCAATCTAATCATTCAGCCAATATATATATCTCCTAAGCTAATTGTTTTTCAGTTTCCTAAGCTAATTAATTTGGTTATTGTAGGGTTTGAATTTTTCTGTTTTGAATATATATATATATATATATATATATGGTTGGTTTTTATATTGGGTTTCATTTTGGTTCGCATTAATGATACAGCAATTTTTTTCCTTACAAAACATGTATAATAAAAAACCTCAAAATATTTCATATTTCTCCCCTTTTTAATAATGATGATTGTGAAAGTAGCAGCATTGCAAGGAAACTATATATGAAAAAAAAATTGATTCGATATCCGTTTTCTCACTTGCTGAAATTTATGTAAGTGCATAATATTTTAGACTATAGTGTATAAAACATCTGAGACAATATAATTAAATTATGAGTTTTGGTCGATAAGATGGGCCTACGCACATATGTTACAAAGTACAATCATGATATTCTTTTTTAAGGGTTTAATCATGAAACACTGTTCTGCCTGATTTTCCTCGTCCATGAATCATTACAGTTTAATTTACATATTACATTTTAGGATCAATAAATCCATTTAGGGTTTTGGAATCCACACATATACATTTCTTTACACAAAACTTATTGCATTGAGTACTCTATTTGTCTAAGCAAATTGTAAGATAATTATTGTTTTTTTTTTTTGTTATTTAGATTCATTCTATTGTCAATAAAATGTTACAATGTGTGGTTCCTGATTAATTAAAATCGAATTAATCTAATCAAGAGGTTAGTGGAGTTTCCGAAGACAAGGAAAGGCCCATGCAAATGATTTGTTCACATGAAACAACATACTCATCTCTCTCTCCCCATGTCCCTATAAGGCTATAACCATGATAGACTTAACATCTGCATCAATTTTTTTATTAATAATATTATGTTAAACTACAAACATTAATCATCAAATTATATTGTTCATAATAAAGTTGTAACCCTCTTTGTTCCATTCAATTGTTTTACATTGTTGATATTACTGTTTTTTTTGTTGTTGTAAGAATTGATCTAAACCTATTCTGTTATAGTCATATATGCTAAATACCCATTTAATTTACATTGTAGAAATAAACCATGAATATATTGAATTTATAAGAAATAAGTGAATTGAAAAATGTCGAATAATATCGAGTGATACCTCAATCTATACCGTAGAATGGAACCCAATATTCGAACAATTGAATTTCTAACTTTTTAGATTTAGATATCGAGTTGTTGGTTTTCAAAAAATTATATATCATAAAATATATCGCAGTACATTAACTAGAGACTAAACTCTAATTTCTAAAATAAATTTATGTATATTTCAAATTATGTCCATAAAAGAAATAAAATATTTCCATGGAAAATCAATTACCAAACCAAAGAATACATTTAAAGAAAACAAAACCCTAATTACACCTTTTTTCTAAAGAAAATATAAGTATATATGTGAGCAACGCAATCAAACAAAACACATGCAAAACATACCATAATTTCTCCACACAACGGCAACTTCGATTTAGATAAAGACATAAACTTTACGATAAAATCGACAGAAACACGCAAAACGATGCAAAACCCATCTCACAAAGACGCCTTCACGGTCCATATAAACGAAGCTTTCGACGATTATAAGCGTAACCACAACACCAACAACGAGAACAGGATCCTCAGTTTCTCGGCCATGAAGCTCTTCCATCGATTCCGCAAGATCTTCATGAGGCTCACGCTCTCCCTCCCCTCCTCCTCCGGCCGCCGTAAAAACAGCGGGGGCTCCGGAGGAGGAGGAGAGAAGTTAGAGCCGCCGAAGATGTCGTGTAGTTCGTATTACTCGTCTCATTCTCACTACAGTGAAGCCATCGCAGATTGCATTGAGTTCTTCAATAAGTCCTCGGCTCATCAGTCTCGTGATGAAGATCGTCAGGTTGTTCATCATCATGACTATTATTATGTTTAGTCGAATTCTTAAGTCAAAGTCATGGTTGTGTTTTTTCTTATTTGAGGGTTTCTCTTTTCCTTTTGCGGGTTTATTCAGTTTCTGCTTGTGATTTTGTGATCGTGCTTCGGATTTCGGTTTGTCCACATTTACATGGATTTCTACTATATTATAAATTACAGAAGACTTGAAAACATAGGAAAACAAGAAAATTTTATCGTGAAATTGGTATTTTTATATTTGATTCGAATTAAAAATCTTTTTTCTCGTCATTTCCTCTATGTATATGTAGTCTCGCTTATTATTATTATTATTATTATTATTATTATTATTATTATTATTATTATTATTATTATTATTATTATTATTATTATTATTATTATTATTATTATTATTATTATTATTATTATTATTATTATTATTATTATTATTATTATTATTATTATTATTATTATTATCGAGCATTAAGTTCATTTCTATACCAACTTCTATGGTATTATTTCCTTGAATACTATCATGTATCTCTAACTTTAAATTATTGTATAAGTCCAAAATCGAATCTGAATAATTCTATGAAATTCATCATAGTAATCTTAGTCGTAAATATACAAATCTAAAATCTTGTTATAGTGCATTTGACATTGGTAGTTATTCATGTGACCAAGAGAAATTTTTTTCAAAATTGAAATGATATTTGCATTCGACATTGTGGATCCAATTTGACCAGACCCTGGATCAAAAATCTTAATTGATATTTTCTATTATTTATATTATTTTTTTTAATAAAATTATATTTAGAGGTTGTTTGAAATTTTAAATCTAATTACAGTGTATTTTTTATATAATTTATAATTGTTATATATAGTAAACACCTTTGAAACGACCCTATGTATCTTTTCGTGGTAGCACGAAATACGAATTTTCCACAAAAATGAGGCTCAAAGAGTTAAGTTCAAGCCCATTAAGGTCACACACAAAATGCGCCATTGAGAAGCATCTGAAAGCATATCCTAAATTTTTGTTAATTCGGAAAATAAATGTATTATTTTATTCGCATGAAATAAAATGCGTGGCTCCATTGTTTTTTTTTTTAAACTTTTAGTTTGCCGATTAAGGGGCACTTGAGTCGACCTCAATGAGTTGTATTTCCAAGGGACAATTTGATAAAAAAAAATACATAAAATATTCAAAAAGTATAAAAGGTACATGAAAATTTTTAAGTACCTAATAAATATTAAATTTTTGTCGAAAAATGCTAAATAAATACATAAATTCTTGAAAACTGCGGTGTCCATTGAAATCGTTAAATGTGATCTAATATGGAATGGAATATATAACCCACATACGATTTTATTAGAAAATCAAAGACGTACAATAAAATTAAACGGACCGGGAAAATAAAAGAAATACCAAAGAAACTCATAAACTAATAGCAGTACACACACTCAAAGGATCGTTGTAATCATCAACAAACGTCATGTCCATGGAACGCGCGGTGCGTTTGGGATCAGTGATTGGAAATCGCGATTTCTAAGGGCACTTGCGTTGGCCGCCGTGGGTGGTGAGGGCGGCGTAACACTCGCACTTGTCGTAGTTCCCGGCCGTACCAGCCGGGACGCAGTTGCATCTCATGCAGCACGTCCCGCACGCACGGTGGCAAAGTCGCGGCCTGCTCGATAACTTGCACCGCGCCTCGCACGCATTTCCGCAATCTATATATACATCTCAAACAAAATTATATTTTATATAATAAAATATATTATTGTAATTATATATCTCTACAAATATTTACGATGTTATTTCTAGAAAGTATATTTAATATTATAAAGGTATTATTGTAATTACGTATTTTTTTTTATAAATATCAGGTTAGTTTTGTTGTTTTGTTAAAATATTTATTTCTCACATCTCCAAAACCATTGTTTAAAAAACATATGAAATTTGAAAAATCGTAGAAAAATGTATTGTTTCGAATTTGTATGCATATATATATATATATATATATATGGATGTTATTAAGTACCTATTTTCTTTGCGTAGCCATCTTGAGGTTTTGAGTTTGCCTGAATTAAAAAAAAAAACATGAAAGCTCGTAATTAATATAGAAAAAATATATAAATTTATAAACATATATAAGAAATTGCATATATATATATATATATATATAGCTTAGTTGTGAAAATAAAAGCGTACCGTATCGGCCTGGACAAGGTGGAGGACAAGCAGAGAGACGAGTAGAGAAGCGAGTAGAGCTTTGTGAATAGCCATAACTCAAATGTTGGAATTCAGATAATAGATAATATAATATTTTTGATAATTTCTATGAGAGATTTGTGAAAGATGTTGTTGTGTCCGGTGGAGAGAAATGGGAAGATGCTATTTATAGCCGCAGAAGCAACCTCTGTTCTGTCTTAGATTATTCTTGAGATTTTTGTTTTAAAAATAATTATTAACGTATATAATATGTTTTATACTGCTTTATTAGGAAATTTTAAAAAAAGTTACGAGGAGGAGAAATTCGAAATAATAGTTTCTAGCATTTATTCATATCTTTATGAATAGAATGGATTTAAAAAATAATAATTTATGCTAGAATTGATTGAAATCGTAATTTTGGGTTAATTATCATTGAGATACATATAGAAATATATGTTTTGTAGTCGTTAGAAAAAAATTTTGCTAATTTTTAAAGGATAGTTTGATAAATTGGTCGGTTGGTATAAAAAGCGAGCATACGCGGAGAAGAGAATATTTCTGGTGGTGAAATTAGTTGCATAGTGAAATAAAATTTTCCATTATTAATTTTGTGAGTATTATTAAAGTTCATGGAATAAAAAATTATGTTTAATTAATTTTGTATATATAAAAAACTTCAAAATTTTAGAATTAATTTTGAAAATCAAATAAGATATATATAAACCGTCTTTAACATTTTCTAAATAATATAATTCTGTTTGGTTGTAAAGATGGTTCTTTCGGCCGAATAACCGGTTTCGGTCCATTATTCTCCAACACCAAACATTCAATCCATTAGGACAGCCACAATTATTTTCCCCCTTTATTAGTTCTCCTTTTCGTCTTTTCTTTATTTTTTTTTTTGGGAATAATCCTCTTCTTTTTGAAATTTTCTAAATTGGAAATACAATTCATACATACATACATACACACACACACACTTGTAAGAAAGACAATATGTGTGTCTTTTTTCTTGATCGTAAAACCTGTAGATAAGGACGAGACTTTCGTGTTTATGTTACGTGGGAACCGTACTTATCTAAACCCATCAATTCAATTGATCTTTTGTTCGTAAACAAAAGCTTATAGTAAGCATCTAAATTAAACATTACCTCCTTAATCTCTCTAACCCCATCTCTTTACACTCCTCTAATAAGAACAAAAGTAAAGGAAAGAGAAGATAAGACAAGTCGTCACTTAAAGCTTAGGCTGCAAAAAACATGACACGCTCCACACCCCTTGAGCAGCCACCATGCTCCTCCTTATCTCCGGCCAATTCTCCGGCGATCGGTTCAACCCATTTCTACACCACGCCCGACGGGAGACGAAGAACAAGCTGCCCTCCCATCAAACTGCTCAAGAGAAAAAACAAGGGCTTTCGTTATAACCCGATTCAAGAAAATCTCAGATAATGTTTTAAGGGCATCCTTTGATGTATCTTTGTATTCAACAGTTCGTATGAATCGATTAAAACTCGATCCATGAAAATTTCGACATCATTTAAGGGTGTTCTTTGATGTATCTTTGCGTTAGCAGTTCATGTCAATTGGCCTTTGGCTGATATTGTCATATGGACAAACAAAGGCTAAGTTTTTTTTTTTTTTTTTTGCGACAAACAGACAGGTTCATTGGGCGTACCTCTTCACATAGTAGTAGCAGAAGTCAGCAAGAATGAATGTCTGGACGATCTCCGAGAGGAGGACCGTTATCGGCCACAGCCCGTACCCTAACGCAGTCAGTAACCGTCCTCTAGTGTCCAAAACCTACACACGTTACATTTTCTTTCAGAATGGTATCTGGTATGAACGCGTAAGAGAGCTTATACTGTCTGAAAAGGACAGCTCTGCTCTGCAAGATTGGGGAGGAAAACGTGGATGCTAGGGTGTACAGTTCTTTAATCGATTCAAGAACTGTAAAGAAAGGTTTATATTTGCAGGGAAAAACCTGAAGGACCCAATGTGCACAACTCAAGAACCTAGCTATCCCCAAAGCAAATACGTAATGTGCTGTGAATGGCTCCACGATCTGAGAAAGGCAAAACACATCAGAAAGAGTACGGGCCAATCTTTGTATCACTGATCGACGATAGATAGAAAATCATTATCTAGAAAAAGAAGAATCATAGATGAATCTGAAACTTATAGGATAGAAACCGAAAGTTTTCAAGAAATTCAAACTGAAAACCGAGAATACCTTTGTGTTTTGCATGACTCTGAGTTGAGGAAGAACTGAAACGGCTTCGAGGTAAACACAGAAAGCCCAAGCAACTCTATTGATCATGTGGTGACGTGTTGTCGGGTGAATAAGTACAGATAGAACGGCGCATGGGATAACCTGCAGTAAGAAAGAAGAAGATGGCCAGAAACTCAGCAACTGAAGTTAAAACCGGGGCAATGATAAGGCAATATATGTACTGAAGGCATCAAGACAGGCGATTATCATTACCTCTTTGAACTTAGATAGCAATTCATTTGAACAGTCTTAATCACCAGGGTTAGGCTGTTTAATTCTAACATTAGATTAAAGCTAAGCCTTTTCAACAAAATCGGTTTCACTAGTTTTATCAGAATCAAGATGAAACAATGAAGAAAATGAAAAGAGGGACTAGAAAAAACCATTTCATCCATAAAGAATGTAACCTTTAAAGCAAAGTAACCAGTGGATGAAAACTCCAAAAGGATAGTATCGACAATCAAGTAAGATAAACATCATATTCTCGTCCATTCAAATTCAAACCCTGCATAAAAACCCGAGTTCGCTAATTACCCTTTTCAACCTCGTCTTCAGTTTAAGTCATTGCAATGATAAGAGTTACGTTTTTTCGACATCTGAACCACAGATAGATAGCAGAGAACTGGAACTAGCACCAAGGGAACAGCAGAGTGAAAGTGAGACAATACCCAAAAAACAGAACATAGGAACACAACTTACGACATAATAGATAGAGAAATTGTCCTTGTCTTCCATGTAAGTGGGTCTAAGCTTAAACCGGATCATATAGATGACCCAAAGGGTGGTCACCAACGTTGCGGAATCAAGTAAAGTGTGAATATCGAATTCCATGACGAAACTGCAATAGAGCCTCACTGCCAGAAACAGAGCCGTCAGCTCCTGTGACTTCAGAGACAGCCCTGTGAACCATACACACACATTTCCTAAACCAAATCGATAATACGAATCAAAATTGCCCATTTCTGGAAAAAAAGGTATACGGTAAACATCACACAAGCCCTAAATCCGAAACATCAATTTCTCAGGGGATCCGAAGATTCCGAACCAATCTATTCAAAATTCCACTTCCCTGAACAGAATCCTAACCCAAGCCCAGAACTTCAAATTTCCGACAGAGAGAGAAACGCACCGGCACAAGTCTTCTCTTTCATGAGCTTGTAGATGAGGATGGAGATTCCAATGGCATGAACAGCCTCGGCGGCGACGAAGAGGTTGTCGTGGTCATGAACAATCATCCTGAGGAAAACGAGAGCCGCCATGGCTGAGACCACGCCGAGAAAAGCCTTCACCTTCGGTGGTTGCCGACGAACCCATGTCGTCACCGTGTGGATCGGCCTCTTCGCCGCCGCCATCGTTGATCTATATTCCCCTTTTACTTCGATTTTTGGGACAAAAGATTGAAGCTTTCGATGTTCGAGAGAACCGGGTACGATGATGAACAACCAGATCGCCCCTTTACGTGTGATTTGCGTTTTTTTGGTTTGGATCAGGTGATTAATTATACTATTTTTTCGCTTCTCGAGTGAGGGAATTGAGAACGGATTAATATTTTTCCTGATGCATTTTATTAACATCAATTCATTTTTATAAAATTTTTAATATTTTCTGAGGGCGACACGTGGAAGGTACTCGCTGTTAGGTGAGAGATTGGATTTGTGGTGGGCCAACGACTCCTGCTGCTTCGGCTCTCTTGTCTTTTCTTCGTGTGAAAATTGAAATTGCGACACGGTTCGGTATAGTTCGGTCCGGTCGGCATCATAAACCGGGAGAACAAAACCCATTAAGCCTCAGACGAGATTATGATATTCTTAACTCAGTACATAAGTAGCAGTGACCAATGACCATCCACAACTCGTAACGGCAGATGAGATGTAATAAATCATAGTGACAATTAGAAAATGAATATTTTTTATAACAAAAAATATTTTGAAAGAAACCTAACGGATATAAATGTTTTAAAATTGAAAAATTAATAAACTAAACTTGAAAGAGGCTTTGTTTCGGCCCATAAGAAACAATAAGAACCGCAACGGCAATCATGTGTGAGGGCCGGGCCCATATAACGCTCTTGTAGCCGTTTGATTTAAATCGTACGGAATCGACCGTTTGAAACTTTGAAAGAAGTCTCTCTCTCAAATCCCAACGGTCTACTCTCTCTGTCTCTCGTCTGGATTCTTGCATCTCCGTTTCAAATCAGAATCGGAACTGAGAGTTCGTGATGGGTATGAAAACGGGTTGCCGAGATTTGTCGGATCGGGAGAAGTGGGACAAAATCTTCCAGGGTTTGGCCAAGATTCTTAGGACCAAACAGGATCAGCTTGAATCCCTCGTCAAGGACAGGAAGATTCTGGTTGACAGAATCAAAACTCAGAATGATCGCTGGGTCTCTGATGTTCGGCTCTACGAGGATCATATCTCTATGGTAAATCCCCAAATTTCAGAAATCCAAGTAAAAAAAATTAGGGTTTCAGGGTTTTGTCGCAACGAAATCGCTGTAAGATTTGGGGATTTTCAGGTTGTTATCTTTAGTTTTCCTGGAATTTTAGTTGACTGCTTTTCTCTGATTGTTCAGATGAAAGATGAAATTGAAACGATGGAGATGATGCGTTTGGTGGAAGTGGCCAAATCGAATATGTTGGTTGGATTGAAGGATAGAGATGTTTCTCTCTGCAAAGTGAAATTAGGTTTGCGAATGCTTCTTCCTGTTGATACGTTCATAAATTGATCCTATTTCCTCGGGCCCAAAGTTTTCTCCTTTCCTTTTTCTGTATCAGAACAGAATTTCATTCTTTTATAAAAGCCGAAACCAGCATCTTAGTGTGTTTGATCGGACAGAACATGGTTGCCCTCTTTGCCTGATCCATCATCTATGCATTTGCAGAACATACCATGGATGAGTTGGATGATTTCAAGGCATGGTTTCACTTCCTCACTCTGAATTCAACAGTATGGCAAGCTAACCCTATTGAAGTTTTTCTTATGGCTTTCGCTAGATGGCACGAAATTCGGTATAAGAAGTTTATTTTTTCGTGCAGAATAAAGATTTCGGTTCCAAAGCTGCAGGAAGTAAGTCCTTGGAAACCGAAATGAGGAAACTGAGACTTGAATACATGAAGCTTGCTTCTGAAAAGAACTGTGAGGTATCTTCGCTTATACGAGAAAATGGTTTCGTCTGGAATCAATTCAAATGCATAGAAAGCGATTTTGTTGATAAATTGAAGGGCAAGGATGATGAAATCGCACGAGCAAGCATGAAAATTTCGAGTCTTATCTCCCATCAAGAGGAGCTGCAACTATCGCTTGATGAAAAGGATGGTATCATCTCGGGATTGAAGGGTAAGGTGGCTGCAATGGAGGAGGATGCAAGTAGGAAAGAAGAGGAAATTTCAAGGCTATCACAAGAGCTAGAGTTGGCACAGAAATCTCGTAGTTCTAAGATTACACCGGTTTTAACCCGATGCACGACTCGTACAAACAGCATCAATGGCAAGACGGAAAAATCCAATGCAGCCGCCAAGAAAGATCTGCCTGCTGGAACTGTTCCAGCTTTAGTAAAACAGAGTGAACAGGTATAGATGTACTCGTGAACTGAATGTTCTAAGTATATACATATATATAAAGAACTGGTAGCACTATGAAACCCAGAACCGTATTCTAATGCCCGTATCTCCGTTGATTTCTTGGAAATGTACCTTTTCTGAAATCTTTGAATCTTTTGATCAGGGAGGCAAGAGCGTGAAGAGGAAAATCCCGAGTTTAGAAACACCGAAGCTGTTCTCGTCCACATTTAAAGTTCCCAAGTTGAAGGCTCCATCTCCGTCTCCTCGAGCAATGCAGCACTCTTGAATGGATAAAATCCCCATTGATGCACATATTAGGAGCTTATGGCTTAAGTTAATCATCTGCATTTCATGTATGTATTCTAATCTAATCTGTTTCTAGGATTATCATCCCTTGATTTACACAATGGTGACCAGACTAGCCAATTAAGGTATATAGTTAGGTGTTTCTCCTTCAGTTTTTCGGGGGGGGGGGGG